CGCCGTTCGGCTGTGCGGGATCCGAGCCTGGCTGTGGGCCGTGGAGGGGGAACACCCCGAATACATATCGATGTTGGGGGTAACGGCCGGGAGGGTGCTGGTGGTAGAAGTGAGTGAAAACTCCCAACCCTGAGCCCGAGATTGAGAAGGGATAACATAAAAGTAATCAGGACCGGCCGCCTCAGCCGGTTGGGGGGCTATCGGGTTTCGTGGGGAGCGCGGGAGGTTACGGCGCCTTGAGCTGGGGACACAGGACCGCCCCGGGGTCCCGTTTCACCGGGGGGGGGGAAGGTTCACCGAGGCCAGCTCAGCCACGTCGCATCGGGCCCCAATCTCAATTAATACATCTCATTCGTAAACGTTATCCGAGCACCTCTGGTCCGGCCGTCAGGTACCGGCTGCCGGTGGAGGGGAGCGGCGGGGCTGCGGGCGCTGGGCCGCTCCCTGGGGTGGAGGCTCCGCTCCCCCCCGGCCCCCAGCGCCCCGCTCTCCCGCCCCGCAGCCCCACAACGCTTGCTTTCAAGCAGAGTTTGTTAGCATAATCGAGTTACCCGCTACATATCTGAAATCCTTGGCCGGTCCCCTTGAGGAACAGCGCACTGCGCGCAGCAAAAGCTTTGAATTATTCCTTTCGCCCCAAATCAGGGAACAACAAGCTATTGTTGTTTGTCTTCATTTAGTTACGCGGAGGGATACTTCGACGTGTTTTCTGTTTCAGCCGGAGCAGGATCTCTGTGCCATCCGTGACGGGATGGACCCGGGTTTAAAACAGAATGCGAAAAAATGAATAAAAGCGTGAATAAATAACCGGAGGGCGGGAGGAACAACGGCCGTTCCGGGTTGCAAACTGCCTCCCTGAAGCCCCGGGTGAGCTTTGACTGCCTGAAGCGATCGGGTCTCGCCAGGGAGAAACGTGTGCGCCCAGGGTGCCCTAGGAAAGCAGCTGAGACTCCCCCCCGGGGTCTGGAAGCAGAGGGCAGGTAGGCCCGTGATCCTGGCAAAGGTAGCTGTGATTCAAGGAAAATGCCTATCGGGAGTAGCAGGTTAGTCGCGGCAGGCTTTTGGCCACGTCAAAGCACACTGATTTTAAGGGGAAAAAGTACTGCACCCCCTCCAGAAGGAAAAGTTAATAAATAAATGAAAGGAAATAAAGGCGAACGTGATGTCGCTTGCCATTTGCCTGCTCTCCCTTGCCACCATAGTGGACATGTGCAGGAAAGATGTGCTGCTTTCTGGCTTGTGAAGATAGCGGGGTTTATCTGTTCGCTACTCCTGCCAGTCGAAGCGCCGAGTGGAAAGAGACCCTCTGTCTCCCTGCCTTCCCCAAGCGGGGAGCCGAGCCCCGCTGTCAGGGACACTCTTGTCCGGAGCCCCGTGTTGGTGGGTGCAGGGTCATGGGCAGCGGTTTCCCCGCATCCCGCCTCTCTGGATGGGGTTTGGCCCGGGCCCTGCCATCGGTATCTGCGCCCCTGTAGAAGGGTCAAGGCTGCCGCAGAGGCCGCGATCGTAAGGAAAGATGCAGGGCAGGAGTCTGGGTAACTTAGCCCTTGTCTTTAATGGTGCCTTCAGTGGGAACGGAGCGGGCCTGCAGACTCCCGCACAGACTGCTGGCTACAAGGAGACCGTGGACGCACAGCCGAGAAGGAGAGTTTCAGATAACCGGAGAGCTCTATTGGCACCCACTCATGGACACGAATCAGTTCCGTGCAGTGAAAGGCTCCACAGAAGAGACACGACCTTCTCCCCCCCTGCAGTCTGCACCCCGGTTAATAAAAAAGAACATCACGGTAAAAAAAAAAAGGCTCTTTATTTCACTTGTATTTCGCAACGCTTGTGTTGGCACTGACGGTCTCGCACGCTGCTTCGTGCGCGGCAAGGACTGCTCGGAGGGGCGAGATGTTTCCCAAGTGGGCCCTTGGCAAGGTCACATCGGGACCGGGATAAGCCCCTGGACTTGTCTGCCGGGAGGCAGCGGGGTCGGGCACAAGTCTCGGTCATCCCAGATAAAACCTTCCAGTAGGCAAAATGTCCCTGAGGGAATGAGGGCAAACGGTAGCAGGCGATTCGCCCCTCCTGTGCTGAAATATGGGAGCGAACGAGTTCTTTCTCCAAAAAGGAAAAGAAGCTCCTCGCCCGATAGCTCGATTCCCTCGCCAGTCGGTACAGCTTGACTCGCCCCGTGTGCCGTGGCTTTGCAGCCAGTACCGCTCTCTCTTGGCTTTGTATCGCTCTCTCTTCTAGCATGTACAGGAATATTTCATTTCCCGAAAGTTAAAAGCAGTTGTACAGAATTTGGATCCAGATGTCGCTGATTTTCCACTGCTCTGGAAAGCGAGCTGATACAGGGTGCTCAGGAAAGGGCTAGCCCTGCCTCTGCCTGGCGCCCCGGGAAGCGAGCAGCGTTCCCTGCAAGCTGCAGTCTGAAGGCTAAAACAGCTAAAGTGAAAGCGCCTACGGAGGGACTGGCGCATCGATTCCGTACTCACATTTTAGGGTCCTAAGAAGACACTTTCTCAGATCTAAGTCCATGCAACAGGTTTTGACATCTCCTTTCCGGCTAGGGCGAACAGCTGCTCCCGTTCAGATTCAGCCGCTGTGATTGTGAGATGGAAGGAGAGGAAGCGGAGTCAGGTATACCCCTAATAAACGTAGGGCGGCTGAGTGCGGTAGTGGGGAGGGGAAGGGGGTGCAGCTCAGCCCCGCTAGAGCTGCTCCTCGCTGCCGCGGTCCCTGGTGCAGGAGGGAGTTTAACTGCGCTATAATCTTCGCTAACGGCACACAGAGGTGGGAGAGGGGTTTTGTGCTTCTCTCGCCGTTTCTGAGTAACGTTTGCGGGGGATCGGTTCTCCCGTCCCCCGACCGTTCGCTACAGCTGGGGTTGCGAATTATCCAGCCGCTTAGGTCGGCCGGGAAGCTCTGAGATCGGGATGCTTTCGTTTATAAACAAGCACAGTTTGAATCCTGCAGAAATCGGCCGGCATCAAGGCACTAAACGGCCGAGGCTCATTTTGCAAAGGGAAGGAAGGAGAAACGGGCAACGGAGGGGTAGGAGGGTGGGTTACGGACCCATGACCAACATTCCCGAATTTGTTTTAAACGAATTTGAGCTCTCTCTCCCTTGTCCTGCAAAGGAAGCTTCTATTTTGCGGCCCCGGGGGATCAGAAGCTTGCCACCGCTCCTCGATGGCAGCACTCGCGAAAAGGCCGGACAGGTAGGAAGATACGCAGCTTCCACAGCGGAGTGCTCTCGAGAAGACACAGACATGGATACGCACGGGGGTCCGGACACGCTGGGAGCTGGACGAGGGCTGATCTGCTGCCCCCACCTTCCTCCTCCTCTTGCCTCCCTCCCCTGCCGCATTTCGCCTGTCTGTAGCCCTAGCGCGGTTCCTTGCCGGGAGCCGCCGGGCAGCTCGCCGCCGCCCCGGCCTTGCCTCCCTCCGGGGACGGCCCCTACCCCCGCCCGGCCCGGTCCACCGTCCTCAGAGGGTCAAGCTGCCGGGCGGGAGGCCACAGCCCGGTCTCTTGTGGCCTCCCTAAACCCCTGATGCGCCGGGGCGGCTAGAGAGGTACCGTAGTAGGAACCCACAATTGCAGAGACGGCTCCTGTCAGGGCTGCAAACAGCGTAGAAAGAGCCTATGGGATTAGTTATTACTATTTATCCGCAAACGGGGAACATTAAAGGCAGTGGCAACTGCCCTGAGGTCGGGGCCGGGAGGCTCCTCCCTAGTGCCGCCACCCGGACGAGCTCCGGCGCCCGCCGCCTTTCGATCTGTTCCTGTGGGGCACCGCACAGCCCTGCGTCCGCTGAGCTCTCCCGCTCATCCTTCCCGACCTTCCGGCTTGCACAGCCTCTCCCCTCCTCCTTTCACTTTGTGCAGACCGAAAGGGTCGGGAAAGGATACGGGTCCCTGCCCCGCACAGGCAGCATCACAAAACGCCGTGCAATGGGCACGCTCGGGTGATGAGGGTCCGCTTAATCACGAGAAGCGTCTCTGACTTTTACACGTGTTCCTCTCATGGACGAAACACCCCGACACACGCCTGGAAACCAAGTGGAAATAGATGCCCAGCGTCCAGTGAGCACGAATGCCAGCGCCCGGCGCACCGGAGCGTGACGGGGCACGGCCGGTGGCTAACGAGAAGCAACCCGTCCCCGTCCTGTGTCATCCTGCCCCCTCCCAGCTCCCGGGCAGGTACGATCAGCGTGTAATGGGATCCCAGGTCAAGAACAGGGTCTCTATTGTACATGAGGCCCCTTCCCTATAAAACTCTCCAACAGTTGTTACTGGGCGCTGGGGAGGGGGTATAAGTTAACGCGTTTAGAAAGAAACATTCTGCAGAGGCCGGAGGCGAGTTTTTCTCCCCACCGCAACGCGGTCCGGAACGGCGGGGCAGGAATGGGGCAGCGGGATCCAGACGGGGCTGCGGGGCCCGGCCGGGGCGGTGGCTCCGTCCCTCAGCGCCCTGCGGCGTGAGGCAGGGGCCCGAGCTTCTCGCTCTGGCGCTCCCCCTGTCCCCCGATGGGCGCCTGCAGCGTCAATCACGGCGGAAATTTCTCCCTCGCTAGCTAATATCTGAGCTCGCAGGGCCGCCTCTGAGTGGATCTGAGCAATCTGTCAACCCAGCCGGGGAGCCACCTCAAAACAGATCGGGTTACCCCTGATTGACAGCGTCACCATGGCAAATAATTTGACTAAAACTATTGTCTTCTCCTGGCAGTCCCCGGGTCAGATAACCGGACCAATCACAGCGCGGATAATCACTTTTCATGCCAGCTTAGAATAATATTATTAAAAAAAAAAAAAAGGAGAGAGAGAGAGAAAGAAAGGGGGGAAAAAACTCCGAGAGGGAGAGGAGCGAGGGAGCAGGGCTTTACCACTATATTATGTGGGATCTTGCTGCGGAGGGGGGTGGGGGGGAAGCAGGGAGATCCCAAACCGGCGGCCGAGGGGGGTGGGGGTGGGAGAGCCGCGGCCGCTGCGAGCGCTGCAGATAGGAGACAAAAGAGGCACGAAGTTACTCTCGCAACTTGGACTTACAAAAAGGAGGCGGCCGGGTGGAAAAGGCGCCCGCGCTCGGGATCCCGACACTTTTCTTTCGTTTTTTCTTCGCTCTTCGCCTTTTTTTTTTTTTACCCCGGCTCCCGCGACCGCTCCGGACCCGGAGCCGCCGATGGCCGCGGCCCCCCGCGCTCGGCCGTGACGCCCGACCGGGCCCCGCCGGGCGCCGCCGCCCCGGGGCCGGCCCCGTATGCCGGGCGCTGCCCGCCGCCCAGCGCCGCTTCCCTCTATGCGGCCATAGGGTGCACGGCGGGGCAGGGCTCACCATGTCGATGCTCCCGACTTTTGGCTTCACCCAAGAACAAGTGGCCTGCGTCTGCGAGGTGCTCCAGCAAGGCGGCAACATCGAGCGGCTGGGGCGGTTCCTCTGGTCCCTCCCTGCCTGCGAGCACCTCCACAAGAACGAGAGCGTCCTGAAGGCCAAGGCGGTGGTGGCCTTCCATCGGGGCAACTTCCGCGAGCTCTACAAGATCCTGGAGAGCCACCAGTTCTCGGCGCACAACCACCCCAAGCTGCAGCAGCTCTGGCTGAAGGCGCACTACATCGAGGCGGAGAAGCTGCGGGGGCGACCCCTAGGGGCTGTGGGCAAGTACCGGGTGCGCCGCAAGTTCCCGCTGCCCCGCTCCATCTGGGACGGCGAGGAGACCAGCTACTGCTTCAAGGAGAAGAGCCGCAGCGTCCTCCGAGAGTGGTACGCCCACAACCCCTACCCGTCCCCCCGTGAGAAGCGGGAGCTGGCCGAGGCCACCGGCCTCACCACCACCCAGGTCAGCAACTGGTTCAAGAACCGCCGGCAGCGGGACCGCGCCGCCGAGGCCAAGGAAAGGTAGGGCTTCCCCGCATCCCACGGCTTCTCCAGCTTCCCCGGCTCCCCGGCCCTGCCGCTCGCCCCACTCCTGCCGCTCTGCCCCGTTCCCGGATGGGCCTGGGCTCTCCGCGGCAAGGTGGGAGCTCGGCGACGGCGGCTGTCCCTCAAAAGCAGCTCCAGGAGACGCTCTCGGGATCCCTTCCCCTCCAAGATCCCACTCCCCGGCGACCCTGGGGCAGCCGCTTCCGCCGGGGGTCCTTCTCAGGGCCGGCGGCGACCCCCGGTTAAGCAACGCGGCCTCCTCCTCCCGCCGCTTCCAGGCGTCGGAGTTCGGGTTGCCGGTGCGTGTCCGCGGTCCGGCGGCGGGGCCCCGGGCTGAGGGTGCCGTGCCCCGCACAGCTCGGAACGTGTCCTTGAGGGTTTCCCCGGTGAAAAGAGGGAAAACCGGGGAGAGCAACCGGGAACGAGCTGATCTGAACGCTGTCAGCAAAAATCGCCTCTAATGGTGGGTCCCAGCGTGAGGAGGGAGACCTGGACAGGGACTGGCCGGAGCAACCTCTTACGGCGCTCGTTAAATTGTGGTTCCTATTCGCTACCCGGCAAGGTGCCCCGAATTCATGTTAATAGAAGTATATTCTTAGACCGAAGGTGATTCTGAAACTGGGTTGGGTTTTTTTCGTTAAATGGAGTGAAAGCACTATTAATTGCCGGGCAGGGTTTAATGCCTGCGTCTTTGGCGTTCGGGATGACTTTTCCTTCAGCAGTCCCTGTGCCTTAGGAAAACGGTTCGAAGAAGGAAAAAGCGTCCTCTAGCTTCACAGCGGCTCCTCGCTTAGGTCTTCGAATTGCCCGGTCCATACGGAACTTATCGTATGACCTGCGCGGTTAATTGATGGATTAGGAATCTCCCGGAGATCCGTGCCTCCAAGGGCACTTCTCTTTTTGTTTCTGCCTCATGTGGTTCGGGAAGGGCTGCGCAGCTGTGCAGCCCTCCAGGCTCGGGCTCCGCACGGATTTGATCCATACATTTCCCCAAACGGTGCTAGAGCTTTAATTTTCCTTCCAGTCCTTACGACTGTTTTTACGAGATGTAAGAGGCTCTTTTTATTGCTGATAGCAGGGACTCACCTTCAGATATCCAAAGGAAATGAAGGTTACACTTATTCCATCTTTTTTCTGGGGGGGGGGGGGGGGGAATCAAATTTTACAGGTCTCCAGAGACAGATAAGATTTTTGACATTGAAAAATACACTCAATATTACACTCCAGGCGTTGAAAAACAGACCTTTCATGGGATTGCCATTCATTCAAGCAAACTTGTTCAAACAGAGCTTTCTTGTCTGTTTTTATTCTTTCGGCACCAAGTATCTCCAGCCACATCCTGCAGCCCTTGAGGAAAAACCGTCAGCACAATGGCTTCGCTTCTCTCGACCAAACTCTTCAGGATAGGGCCCTTCTACCAGATAGCGTCGTTCGTAGGTTCCCCAGAAACTTTGTTGAAAAGAGGACTTGCAATGCCGTATTTCAGACAGGGCTGTGTTTCAAGGATTTCTACCAGCGCTATGTCTAAAAACCGCCTTAGCCTTGGCAAGACGGCCGCCAGCAACCCCTCTTGCTCCTTTCAGTTTAAAAATAATACATATATTATATATGTATACATATATGTGTCTAGAAGTGGCTTGGCCAGCCTCCAGCGATTTCTCGGTATTTACCGGTGGTGAATATGTGAATACCGCCCTACCTTCCCGAGCCGGCCCCTGTCGACAGTGGCACCGGTGGTGCCGGTTTCTTTCTCTGCGGCTCCGGGGAGCGGCCGCCTGCGATGGGCAGAGGGATGGCGGCGGGCGAGCGGAGCCTTCCCCGAGAGGGCCGGGTAAACAAGCGAGTTACGTCTCCTTCCTTGCCTTATCTTCCATATTGGGCTATGTTTTGAGCTTTAAGCTCGAGGCGAGGGAAGGAGAAATGGTCCGGTTACTTAAGCAAAAGCCTTTCCCTCCCGGTGCGTGCCGGGGAGGGCGGGCTGCTGAGCAGAGGGATCCTGCTGCAACCCGCCGTGCTTCAGCCTTCCCAGGACCTTCTCTTCAGCTCCAAGAGCACTTTTAAAAAGTCTATTTCATTTTTTTATGTCTTCTCTTCCTCCCCTTTCCCTCCTCACGCTGTGCAAACGCTTTGGACGCAGAAAATGACGTTTTGGCAAAGTGACACTTTCCGCTGGGCTAGTGGGAGACACTGTTTACAAGCTCGGCAGACCTTAGACCTCTGCGCCAGATGGAGGCCTTGGAGGTTTGCAGAGTTTGTAAACCTCCCGTTCCTGCATTCCCCGCCGCTCGCCGCCCCCGGGAGCCCAACTCCCCTCTGCCCTGCTCCCGCTCCCGGGAGCGGCGGCCACACGGTGATTTCCCTCCCTCTTTTGTGTTTCCTATAGGGAAAACAACGAGAATTCCAACTCCAACAGCCACAACCCGCTCTCGGCGTCAATGAACGGCAATAAGACAGTTTTGGGGAGTTCGGAGGACGAGAAGACGCCGTCAGGGACCCCGGATCACACCTCCTCCAGCCCCGCGCTGCTGCTCAGCTCCAACCCCGGGCTGCAGCCCCTGCACAGCCTCGGCCACCCGCAGGGCCCCAGCGCCATCCCCGTGCCCAGCGCCGACCCTATGAACCACCACAGCTTGCAGGACTCCATCCTCAATCCAATGTCATCTAACCTGGTCGATCTGGGCTCTTAAAACCGTGTACACGCTCCCTCCTTCGCACCAGCCCGCCTTTTTCCTTTCCTTTTTTTCCTTTTTTTTTTTTTTTCCCCTTTTATCAGAGACTTTGAAAGCGATGACAAACTCCTTAGTGGATGTGTTGTGCCCTTTGGCAGCAGACTGGCTGCGGGTTTGGAAGGAAGGTATGAGACCCGGCTGTGGGCAGTGATGTTGTGAAAAGCCTTAAGGGTTGCTTAAAAGATGGTCTCAGGAGTGTAGGACAGGAGCTGTGATTTTTCACGGCAGGCTGTAAGGCGGTTCGGTACAGCAGCTCTTTCCAGCCTTAACTTCACGAATCTCTCTCGGTGGTGTCACTCGATAGGGCTGGTCTGTGTGGGAAGAGGCACATTGGTAACTTTTATTTGTACTTTTTCGGGGGGTGGGGAGGAAAGGGAAGCCCAAGGCCGCTGTTGCCATGCCTGTTTGGAAGTTACACATCGCTCCCATTATCCTATTGTAGCTATGTATCCGTGGCAGGTGTACGATGTACAATTTCAAGTAAGAATACAAAAGTTGTAGTCAAGTTATAGCAGCAACACGCGCTCTAGGCAGACTCTGTAACCTTCTTGTAGCTGATGCTATGCAGAGAGACGGCTTCTTTGGCCTCGTCCCTGTGGTGCTTTCGCCATTTGCTGGGTGGGAAAGGAAGTGATGGCCCGGCTCCGGCCCCAGAGGAAGGCAGGGGATGATTCTCCCCTCGGTGTGCAACGACGGCAGGAGCAGGCTTTACAAAAGAAGAGGAATTGCTGCTCAAGTTTAGACCTAAACGACAGTATCAACCGCAAGTCACTCACCTTAGTTTTGTTTATTGTTTATATTATGTGAATACATTCTTTGGAAAATATTTCTGCTTTTATTTTATAATAAAATTTAGAAATCTAACCCGGCGTCCGGTTGCTTCACTCACCCGCTGGGTGGTTTTGGATGCCAGGTAGCCGGGGCTGACAGTGCTCGGCCGGGAGAGGCGGTGGACACACGAGCGATTTTGGGGCCCCCCCTTCCCGGGGAGTCAGACTGTGCCTTGCATCCCTGCTCGGTTTGGAGTGTCCCGCCGAGCAAGGGCCGGGCACGTCGGACTGCCCGGGCCGGAGAGTGGTGTGCACTGGAGAGGGGAGGCAAAGGGACGGGGAAGGACGGGTGCTGCGGACCCTGGGGCGAGGGGAGAGGTCGCCCACCCGTTCCCCCAAGGACACGGTGGGGCAGGCTGCGGGTTTTCCGGCCCCGGCAGAAAGCCGGCCAGCTGCCTGTCTTTGCACAGTGACGGCCACCAGAGCCGGGTCCAGGTCCTGCATGACTGGGCTGTAACTGCCCTCCCAGCACCTGTGGGAGGGATGCCGGGAATGGGGTTTCTCTATTCCTATCCTTTTTCTTCCTTTTTTTTTTCCTTTTCTGGTGGCAAAAGTGATAGTCAAGTTACTTGCACGTTTGCTTAATGAAAAGAGCTCAGGGTGATTCCACTGCGGCTTACACCCTCCCCACCAATTCTTTACCCCAAGCCGAATGTGATAAATCATCTGTTTAAAAGGCTGTACAGAGCTTGCAAGAGGGTTTATACTCTCTCTCTTCCCTCTTTTTTTTTTTTTTTTTAATTCCCTAAAATGAAAATCTTGTGAAAAATAAACCGAGAAAACGATATGGCTTCAAGCGGGATAGAAATATGTGTAGATCAGCAAAGATCGTGTCCAGGTTTCAGACGCTGGCTGAAATTTCAATCAGAGGGAGTTTTGTGCGGGCAATGTCCTAATTTGATATAATCTGGGGCTGGATTAGCGCCTCGGCGCGTTTGTGGGTGTCTGGTAAAAGCACTTTTCTCTGAGGCCCCGTTAAAGTCTATGGAAGGGAAGGTACGGATGTTGGTAACGGGAAGGATCGGCCTCGGAAAGAGAGCTCTCTCTTACTCATGGTTACAAATCCAGTGTTTCAGAGGAGACAATGTGGTATATTTAGGCTCATGTTCCTCCTGTTTCTGTTCTTTGGGGAGATTTTTCGCCAGCGGAGATGATGTGGCTGCCGCCTGTGCTGTGGGAGCGTAGCAGTGTGGTCCTGCGTGCATTAGGGTCTAAATGGCAGATCCTGTTATTTCCGTTGAAGGGCATCTAATAATTTCAGCTATGAATTTTAATCCTTTGAAAATAAACATTTCACAAATAGAGGAACCGCTGCTTCCTAGGGATACAGACAATCCCAGCCCCCTGTAAAATAACATGCAGTGGTGCAATATAGCAAAGAATGAATTAATTGGCTAGTTAATACTTTTGTACTTTTAGAGACAGAAGTAAGTTTGGGAAGGAAAACAGAATGACTGGGTTAATAAAACATGGCCTCGAAACCGAAGTAAAGCCTTAAGGCTTTGCCCGCTGGAGAGAGAAAAAAAAGAATTAAAGAGTAAAGCCAAGATGGGGAACATTTAAAGAGGCAGTAAGAAAACAGGATGGGGTTTACGTGGTTCATAAAAGGTCATATTGCACAGAAGAGGCAGAATTCGATCGGGGAAAGTAAATGAAGGGCTGACAGAGTGAGAAAGGCCTTTTGAAAACGAGGGGCAGTGATAACTCCCGTAAATTGCAGCGAGGATCACTCATACACGGAGAGAGGAAGGGAAGGCGAGTCGCTGAAGTCAATTAAGTAAGAAAAAACCTAAATCTGCAGGTTGATTTAGCATTAAGGGAGCACACACACAGCTTAAAGCCCAGATGATGGGACGTGTGTAATGCAACCTGAAAACCTGTACATGTTACGACTCATTTTATCAGACCGTACTTGCCTTAGTAATGATGTTTGGTAAATTAGCCCAAATCCCCCCGATTTTCCACGCACAGAAAAAGTTCCCGATACAGGAATATGCCGAAACTGACGTGACTAATCCTTGGTTTTAAACAGATTAGTTATGATTCACTAGCATTACGTTACATAGGGCATATCTTGTCTCATGGATGGTTGTTTACGGGACATAAATAAAAGGACGGTGGGGATCCGGCAGGCTTTATCCCTGGAAGTCCCCCTGGCTATCCCCGAGCTGAGGCCGGGATGTGGCGGACAAAGCCCACAGCTGAGCCCCTGTAGCGTAGACTCACTCTCGTATACCCACACACACATATACATATATACATAGAAATCTATATTTACATTTGACCTCAAACTAAAACCTCCCAAAATTACATAATGAATGCAGTATTTATGGACCTCAGAACCGTAACTGGAGTAATTCCTTCGTATAGCAGGGGACTGAATATTCACATGTACTACAGCTGGGGAGCCCTGTGCTTTATTGTATGTTACCTGTCCTGGCGCCCTGCTGAAAAGCGTTATGCGAGAAATTGCACACGAGACAGAAATCACTGTTGGCTGTCCTGCCAGGGCACAGCTCGTCCTCCTGCCATGGGCAATAGTGACGAACGAGAGGGGGGAGCATCCCGACAGGCTGCTGAAGATACGGCACTAACCCCGAAGGGACATCTGTTGCTTTACTGGGGACAGGCAGCGAGGTTTTTGGCATCAGAGCCTTTCACATAAGAAGGGGGGTATATGCTTGAGCTTGCTGGTTAAATGCCTTCCCTCTGCAAGCCCTTTGGGGTAAGAAGGACCCTTTAGGAAACAGTGGTATCCCATCTACAAGACTGCATGGCTGCGTTTTACTTTGGATGATACAAGCTATTTTGCAGATATTCAAAACTATCTAGGTGAGAGAAGCCGCCTACCCGACATATGTCTTGTGAGCTACCCCAGAGAAAGCTGCATTCCCTCTTTCCACCTTCTTGCTCAGTAGTCTGGGCCTAACTGAAGCCTCGATGTGTGTTTGAGGGGGGCTGCTCCAGCCCCGGAATGAAGAGCCTTGGAAGTGCCCCTGCCTGCCCAGCGATGTTTGCGTAAGGCGCTCAGGCTCCTGTTACCAGACCCGGAAACAAAATATATTACCTTCTTTAGGAGAAACAAATGCAGCCCGGTATGAGCAGGCTCTTGTTTTGAACAAACCCTCACTTGAGCATGACAAATAATGTAAGGGAATGGCGATGAAAACACTGGCCACTGGCCCTTACTGCAGAGCTCTTTAACTTCCTCTGCTTAGTGAATCAAAACGCTGCGGCTCACACAGCCAAGAAAAACATACTGAAAGGAACTTTCAGTGCTTCAGCACACAAGGAAAAGGTGAGGGTTTTGTCTGAAGGAAAGTAGCTCTGGGGTTTGGAAAAATACATACTTAGGAGCTGGCCTGCCTGATCAGCTTCTTCCCATTCTGCTGCTGGGAGTGGGGCTCGAAGCTTCCCCTCCTGGCATCGGGAAGGAGGTCCATCTCCTTCCCACTTATATGAACGGGAGCGGGGGTTGGTTGTTGGGTTAGGGTGGGTTTGTTCCCCCCTCCCTTGCTCCTCGCACTTCGGGTAAGAACGCTGAGTCTCCAACTCTAAATATCACATTCGCCTTTCTCCAGCGTCCCGGTGCTCCTCAGAGCAGGTCCCTCTCCTCGCCTCGGGGCACCGAGAGGCGGCCGTGCTTGCTGCTGGGCGGCAGAGCGATGAGCTACTCCTGCCTTCAGCCAGACCCGCGTCTTACAGACATAAAAGAAGGGATAAAAAGAAAAAGGAAATAGTCATTAGGGGGAAAACCCCCATCAGACACACGGAAAGAGATTGTGACCTCACCAAGGGTCTGGGATGCAGAGGGAAACAGGTTTAGCGGGAGCTAAGGTGAGCAGGCAGGTAACATGTTACATCAGCAATCAGTGCTGCTTGACCGAAAGGGGGGTGGGGAAAGAAGAAATCACTTGGAAAGACGAAAATCGCACATGTGCTTCTGATGACCCCATTAGATGCGAAGTCCTCCAGGAAATACATATTTGAAACAGCCAGGAAAAACAAACATGCCTTTTATAGACTTGCCTGTCCCACCATGAAAAATGCAAACCTCGGTATGGTGCTTGTGTATCTAGAGGGTGGGAGGGAGGGAGGAAGGGGGAATAGATTTTGTGAAGAACCGATGAAAGCTACCTTCATCAGGAATATTCATTTTCGCTGCCTTGCTCTCCAAAAATAGGCTGCAGCGTGAAAAAGAAACAAAAAACAAGCCAGTAGTTAAAACTACGGACATCTGAGTCTGAAAAGTGACTGTCAGGAGCTCGTCTGGGTGTCAACACAGGCGAGACGGGCCGGCAACGGTGAGGAAGTTAAAACCGGAGGGGTGAAAAGTTAAAAAGCGGGACTTTATAAAGGCAACAGTTTGCTGCAAAGTCCCCAGGATCACACTGGAAAAGTGATTCCCGGTCGTGCAGGAGCTTGGGTCAGCGCAGAGACACCCCAACACCACCGTTCCGAAGCTCGGGTGCGGTTGCAGTTGGTTGCGCTGAGGGTTGGGGAGCGAGCAGAGCCTCGACCCGAGAGCACTTCAACAGCAAAGGCAACAGCGCTCCTCCTCTCCCCTCGCTCGGCCACCCTGCCCGGGGGCCCGCACACTGACCCCGCTGCCGGCAGCGCGGGCAGGCTCTGGCGGACACTCGATCCCCTATGCAGTGAGCGGGGGGGCAGGTCCTCGCCCGCCGCCCGCACCTGCTGTCCCCGCTGCGGGGCCCGGCTTTCTGCCGGTGTTCCGGAAGCCCCGCCGGCAGGTGCCCCGGGGGTTGCGGCCTCCGCGGGGACAGGGAGACGGCGAGGGTGCGTGGCCAGTTACCCATCGGTGAGGGATCTCCCCCTTCACGCCTCAGGGTGCTGCCGGGGGAAGGCAGGTAACTTCGAACACACTTGGATCGGCGGAGTGCGTTTAATCGAAATAGGATAAAGATCATTCTCCTGTTGTCGCCAGAGAGCTGCGCCGTGGGGAAAAGCAGTACCAAAGTCTAAGTTAGCGGCATCCCCGAGGGAGGCCCGATCTGATCACCGATCAGGGAGCCC